TCAAAAATTTGCAGCCGCAAAGTAGTGCTGGGAGGAAATGACCGTCACTTCCTCCCAGCTCCTTCCGCGCGGGAGGGAAGAAAGCCAGGCCGCGAGGAGGGAAGAGCCACGCCGACTCCCATTAGCCACAGCCACCCTCCTGCAAAAAAAGTAAGAAAATTTAGCTATGTGTATGTATGTATGTGTGTGTGTGTGTGTTTGTATGTATGTCTCTGTGTATGTATTTCAGTATGTCTGTGTGTGTATGTATGCCTGTATGTATGTGTTTGTATGTATGTATGTCAGTATGTGTTTGTATGCATGTATGTGTGTGTATTTATTTCAGTATGTCAGTATGTCTGTTTGTGTATGTATGTATGTATGTCAGTATGTATCTATCTGTATGTATGCCTGCATGTGTGATTTTGTATGTCTGTGTATATGTATGTCAGTATGTGTCTATCTCTATGTATGCATGTATGTGTATGTATGTCAGTATGTGTTTGTATGCATGTATGTGTATGTATGTATTTCAGTATGTCAGTATGTATGTCAGTATGATCTGTGTCTGTGTATGAGTGTATGTATGTCAGTATGTGTTTGTGTGTGTGTATGTCAGTATGTCTCTATGTATGCATGTCAGTATGTGTATGTATGTCAGTGTGTATGTGTATGTATGTATGTATTTTAGTATTTATGTGTGTGTGTGTGTGTGTGTGTCAGTGTGTTTGTATGTATCAAGATTTCAACAATCAAGAGCCACTTATAAAGAGAGACTCAAGGGGGAAGGTTATATTCTGCTTTATAGGAATTTGTTATTCTGTTAAATTATTTTCTTGTTTCTCATATTATGTTGCTATACACTTTGGGAGATTCCCTGAGGAAGCCCTATTTTGGGTGAAACATGTGGGATTACTCCTTAGCAACCTTTTATTTTTTTTTATTTTTTTTAATTCTTTATTTTTGGTTTGACGAAGTAGATGATAAACATGAAAGCATGTACATTTTCGAATAAGACAGCGCAGTGTCATACATTAGCGCAGTGCATGCATTTGACAGTTGTCAGTTTAGGCATATTATATACATTAAGTTTTCTGTGGGTGTCTTCGTCTACATTTTTGGTATAAGTGGCAAGCGGTGTTAACTATATACAATAGTTTTTTTGTGAGGAGTTAGGCTTAGAGAGTAGAGTGTCAATCCCCCCGCTTCCTGGGGTGCGCAATTGCACTCTCCCTCCCTTCTACGCTCTGCAAAATGTTGGCGTATTATTATTTGCCTTTCCCCTCCTGCCATCTTGCTGATCTAAGGTGCTTGCCCTCAAGGGATAGATAGAAAGGAAAAGTAAAGGAATTGGAGACAAGTACGTGCGTGTTTAAACAGTTTCAGTTTGATATGGTTAGCAACCTTTTATTTTTAAGGCTTTTTAAGCTTAATTTTATATTTTGGATTAATAAAGCAGTTTTTTTACCTGTATCCTGAGTCCGGCTCTTCATATCTACAGCAGTTGTCCTAAAGGAAAAGGCGTCCTGGCTATAGCCCCCCATACCATCAGGGGAGACACCCTTCTGCAATTTATTCCACTACATCTTGTGAGTGCATACTAAACTTGTGCTTTTTATTAATTTTATAACAGTATAACTTTATGTTTTGCTTTCTGTTATACTTGTAGATCCACAGCCACTTTCTCCTATACGCTTGCCATTGTCTTGTACCATATTAAAGGAATATTGTCTGGGATATTCCTGGAGAGGGCTATCGCTATCTAAGAAGATAAGTGTGTTTTTTCCATCACATTATTGTATTTCTGTTGGATATATCTTTTGTTTGTATGTATGTATGTATTTCTGTGTGTGTTTATGTATGTATGTATGTCAGTATGTATCTGTCTGTGTGTATGAGTGTATGTATGCGTATGTATGTATGTCAGTATGTGTTTATATGCATGTATGTGTATGTACAGGGAGTGCAGAATTATTAGGCAAATGAGTATTTTGACCACATCATCCTCTTTATGCATGTTGTCTTACTCCAAGCTGTATAGGCTCGAAAGCCTACTACCAATTAAGCATATTAGGTGATGTGCATCTCTGTAATGAGAAGGGGTGTGGTCTAATGACATCAACACCCTATATCAGGTGTGCATAATTATTAGGCAACTTCCTTTCCTTTGGCAAAATGGGTCAAAAGAAGGACTTGACAGGCTCAGAAAAGTCAAAAATAGTGAGATATCTTGCAGAGGGATGCAGCACTCTTAAAATTGCAAAGCTTCTGAAGCGTGATCATCGAACAATCAAGCGTTTCATTCAAAATAGTCAACAGGGTCGCAAGAAGCGTGTGGAAAAACCAAGGCGCAAAATAACTGCCCATGAACTGAGAAAAGTCAAGCGTGCAGCTGCCACGATGCCACTTGCCACCAGTTTGGCCATATTTCAGAGCTGCAAAATCACTGGAGTGCCCAAAAGCACAAGGTGTGCAATACTCAGAGACATGGCCAAGGTAAGAAAGGCTGAAAGACGACCACCACTGAACAAGACACACAAGCTGAAACGTCAAGACTGGGCCAAGAAATATCTCAAGACTGATTTTTCTAAGGTTTTATGGACTGATGAAATGAGAGTGAGTCTTGATGGGCCAGATGGATGGGCCCGTGGCTGGATTGGTAAAGGGCAGAGAGCTCCAGTCCGACTCAGACGCCAGCAAGGTGGAGGTGGAGTACTGGTTTGGGCTGGTATCATCAAGATGAGCTTGTGGGGCCTTTTCGGGTTGAGGATGGAGTCAAGCTCAACTCCCAGTCCAACTGCCAGTTCCTGGAAGACACCTTCTTCAAGCAGTGGTACAGGAAGAAGTCTGCATCCTTCAAGAAAAACATGATTTTCATGCAGGACAATGCTCCATCACACGCGTCCAAGTACTCCACAGCATGGCTGGCAAGAAAGGGTATAAAAGAAAAAAATCTAATGACATGGCCTCCTTGTTCACCTGATCTGAACCCCATTGAGAACCTGTGGTCCATCATCAAATGTGAGATTTACAAGGAGGGAAAACAGTACACCTCTCTGAACAGTGTCTGGGAGGTTGTGGTTGCTGCTGCACGCAATGTTGATGGTGAACAGATCAAAACACTGACAGAATCCATGGATGGCAGGCTTTTGAGTGTCCTTGCAAAGAAAGGTGGCTATATTGGTCACTGATTTGTTTTTGTTTTGTTTTGAATGTCAGAAATGTATATTTGTGAATGTTGAGATGTTATATTGGTTTCACTGGTAATAATAAATAATTGAAATGGGTATATATTTGTTTTTTGTTAAGTTGCCTAATAATTATGCACAGTAATAGTCACCTGCACACACAGATATCCCCTAACATAGCTAAAACTAAAAACAAACTAAAAACTACTTCCAAAAATATTCAGCTTTGATATTAATGAGTTTTTGGGTTCATTGAGAACATGGTTGTTGTTCAATAATAAAATTAATCCTCAAAAATACAACTTGCCTAATAATTCTGCACTCCCTGTATGTCTGTGTGTACGTAAGTATGTCAGTATGTATCTGTCTGTGTCTGTGTGTATGAGTATATGTATGTCAGTATGTGTCTATCTGTATGTATGCCTGTATGTATGTGTTTGTATGTATGTCAGTATGTGTTTATATGCATGTATGTGTATGTATGTCTGTGTGTACGTAAGTATGTCAGTATGTATCTGTCTGTGTCTGTGTGTATGAGTGTATGTATGTCAGTATGTGTCTATCTTTATGTATGCATGTCTGTATATGTATTTCAGTATGTGTCTATCTGTATGTATGCATGTCTGTATGTATGTGTATGTATGTCAGTATGTGTTTGTATGCATGTATGTGTATGTCAGTATGTATGTCTGTGTGTATGTATGTCACTATATATTTGTCTGTGTCTGTGTGTATGAGTGTGTGTAGGTCATTATGTATGCATGTCAGTGTATGTATGTATGTATGTATGTGTTTGTATGTATGTCTGTGTTTATGTATGTCAGTATGTGTCTATCTGTATGTATGTATGTATGTATTTCAGTATGTATGTATTTTAATATGTATGTGTATGTGTGTTAGTGTGTTTGTGTGTATGTATTTCAGTATGTATGTCTGTGTGTGTGTATGTGTTTATGTCAGTCTGTGTCTATCTGTATTTATGTCAGTATGTCAGTATGTATGTGTTTGTATGTATATGTATTTCTGTATGTATGTGTATGTCAGTATGTATGTATGTGTGTGTCTGTCAGTATGTATGTGTCTGTAAGTATGTTAGTATGTGTATGTGTGTCTGTATATGTCTATGTGTCTGTTTCACTATATATAGGAATTTGTTTAAAAAAAATGTGAAACTATAGTCTGGCCCCTGTGAACTGGCCCCCTGTTTAAAAAGATTGAGGACCCCTGTACTAAAGGTAAGGATTCATTAATTTTTTTATTTGTTTTTTACACATACTTAATTTAACACAGAATCCATTTCCTTTCAAAACTTCATATATATAAATATAAAAAATTGCGTGGATGTGACAGTTGTCTTTTAACATTGTTAGGAGTTACATTTCTGCCTCAATTAACATCTGTCATTTTATTGACATATACTTCTTTAGCAAGTGCAAGAGACTAGAAGAGTAATCACAGTAAATACAGAGCAAGCACTGCTTTTAACAGAGAGCAGGAGAACCATCTGTTGGAGGGAACTCCTGCACTCCCCTGTCACTCAACAGTCAGCATAGTTTGATTCCCCTGGTAAACTGACAGAGGTGCTGTTTGACATGTTAGGGGGGAACTAGATTTTTTAAATCTAATTTTAGGAGTATCTATACATGAGCTAGCAATTATTTTACTGACCATTGCATGGCTCCTCTGATGTCAGTGCTTACGGGGATACTTAGGCATTACCCATAGGAAAATTGTTGAATTAATGCTTTCCTATGGGAATTTGAAGACCTCACGCACAAACATTGAAAAATAAAAGCAGATATTTGATCAGATTAAAGCTTGAAAACCTAAGAATTACCTGTCATAGATTTTTGCAATACGCAGCTCTCCTCTTCCTTTTCTTAAACTTATTCTTGTGGTTGATGCATGTGCAAGTATATGACCACCAACTGGCTTTTTTGGATCTGCTTGAAATCTATCAAAATAAGATAAATTAATATATTATAATATAAGTGTTGTAGAATCTTTTAACAATCGGATTTCTAATCCAGTGTTCAGTTAACACACGATTTACCATAATTATTATACAGTATTACAAGGTTTCTTGTAGAAAAAAAAGAACTTACTTACGTCATGGTTGCACCTGGATCAGCAGTCATTTGATTTGTGACAAATACAGCTACATTATATTCTGTAGATAATAAAATATACAACCAAGAGGAAAACAATTAGCCATCTCATGACTTTATACCTAGTTAATATGAAGCATATATTAGTATATTTCATGAATCCAGATTCTCAACTCTTGTAAAGTCGTCTTTTTTTTTAAAAATCTTTAATTTTGCGTGAAAGTCTTGTCATAAATACAACATACATTTTTGATGTACAAAGGTTTCTTGTGATAGATTTCCAACATTGATCATTTTACATTCTCTTTCTCGTGTTTTCAGTTGAGCTTGTCTTTTATGAGATTCAACAAGGACATTTCACTTTTTTATGTTTTTGTATCCTGAGTGTCGGACCAACAGTATGCGATAAACTAAACCTTCTAAGATAGGGAGCTGACATTATCGTAAGAATGTGATGGTTTTTGGGTGGGGATTGTGTCACCTGTCCTGTATAGTTTGGCCCTGGTCCAGCCAGGGGTCTCTGTGTTTATCAATATGTGGGGTGTTGGTGCCCAGGTCCCCTCCCGGTGTAATAAGGAGGAGGAAGAAAATTTTTTGAAAGAATAAGAGCTAGTAAGAGGGGCGGGAGGAGGGAGAAGGGAATATGTCAGTTCAGTTTGGCGCAGATCCCTCAAAAAAAATTCCATGCATTTATCCATGACTTTTAGGGTTACATCTCCTAAAGGCATGATAGTCATTCTGTGTAGCTATGTCACCATTAACTTCAGGAGCTGATTCCAAGTGTGAATCCTTGTATGGGACAAAAGTGTCAGGAATATTAGGGGATCCTACACGTAGAGTGTAAAGGAATAGTAACGTATACCGGACCTTAGAATGGCTGGACTAACGTCACAAGGACAGAGAGTAATAATAAACAAGCCGAGATCTTGGATGCCAGAAATCAGGAACAACGAGAATACAAGAGCCAAGGTCAAAGGAGTACAGAAAGGAGAATAGTCAATCTAAGGCAAAAGTCAAAATCCAAGATAACAATACGAAGTAAATGCGCTATTGGGACTATGCAGAACCACAACAGGGCAATGAGACTTTCCCTGAGTTCCCCTTAAGTACTGTGTTCCTTGATATGTAACCACGCCCCCAAAACGTTTGAATCTGAACGTTTTGGCGGACTGTGACGTCATTAGTGTCATGACGTCGGCGCGCATGCACCGCGTCATAAAAAGGAGCGGAGCTATCGTGGCCGGCGCGAGAACCGCTAAAAACAAGAGGAGAGCTACTGGGGATGTCCCCAATACCCTGCTGGATGGTGTCAGCTTGTGGCACAGCCTGTGCCAACACACAAGGTACCCTGACAAAAAGGACTCATAACAAGCCTGTCATGTACATTTTTGTCAAAATACTTACAATCGAAAGAGGTCTGAGACTGTTGTGCATTTGAAACATTTAAAGAGTTAGTAAGCCAACCTGGAATGAGATTTCCAGGCTGGCTAGTGTTAACTTTGTCCATATTTGGCATCTGTTGTCAGCATGTATAGCATGATGGTGCAAAGGACCAATTGCAGCACATCCTACCTCCTGTGGATCTCCCAGGAGTGAGTGGGAGTGATATCACCAGATGAAGATCCTACAGAGAGAACATGGCCTCAGTGTAAGATTACAAGTATGTTTGTTTATTTTTTCTTTCTTTCTTTTTTGTGGTTGAGGGCAGATTACTACACTTTAAAATACAAATTACTCTCAAAATGTTATGGAGCCTACAATAGAAACAAAATAGCTACATTTCATAACTGAATAAGGTATATACTATCATACTCACTATACTAACCTTCAGAGATCTTCTGAAGCCTAGACAGCATCTGTGCTAATTTCTGTTGCCTCTCTGCCAGTTCCCCACGGCCACTAAAATCCACTCGGAAAAGAGCCATTATAGAATCAATGATCTGGGGAAAGATCTTTAATCAGAAGTCTAAACACAAAAGTATAAATAAAAAGGTGATTTACTGTAATAAGGCCTGTCTTGCATTCCATATCGGCAATGGTCACCATCCATATACATTGAGAAGATATGCAAGAGAATAGTTGTTTAGTATATCTGGATTCCAGTTGTTTTTGCACTAGCGATATATCTAAGTGTGGGATTCAGCTCACATTGTTATGCTATGTCTACATTTTAATAGATATTCTAAATACCAAGTGGGAGAGCTGCCATCAGAACTCAAATCATAGCAGATCAAGTCACTGGAGTCCAAGTCTGTTAAAAGTGGCATCACAGCAAAATGTAATCGAAAATGCTATCCACTGTTGTCATATTTTTGTTATGCCAGTTAGTAAAAAATGTTTCCATCTTGAACCCAACCACACCATGTACTGTCCACCTCTGTGGCACTGAAAGTGAAAATAAATCAATTAAGTAATACATACTAGGGTCTGTAACTAAAAGTTAGGTACTGACTGTACAGTTTTTTTTTGTTGTTATGTACATGCTTTGCAAGGGACACTGGGGAAAGCATACAAATTAGCTAACCTCTTCATTTGGAACTGAAGCAAGTGCTGAGTGCATCTGTGCTCACACATATATTTTCATAAATTCTAGAGCATGCATGAGTGTGCATCATGGTTTAGGCATCATGATGACTATGTTGATCTGGATACAGAAGTGCTGTGGAGTTACTACTTTGTTTTACTTACTGCTATTTTATTCACCCCAGTAAATAATAATTTCTCTGAAAATGACAGTTCTTCTTTCACTACTGGTTGTGTACAGAACTCTTTCTGCTTCTTTAGTTTTTAAGGTAACATAAGATTTTTTTTGTCCACTTTGTGATGCTCCATTTTATCCACCTTTTCTTTATTCTGATGTTATATTTAGAAATCATTGTGATTTCAGTGTTTAAGCATCCAGCTCGGTTGATTCTATCACATATAAAGCACATTTACCAAGAGTTTGAAAATGCCAGCTTCCTCATGAAATTTAGCTGCTACATAATCCAACAATTCCATCTGATGCTCACCTGCAGAACAGAGGGTAATGACAATAATCTCAAATATTACTCTAAGTATTAAAACAATTTTAGCTTAGTGATTTAGTTGTGATGTATATATTTTATGCCATATGGAGTCTCACTTCTAAATTCACTACCATTTATAAGTTAAATAACTTTTATTTCTGTATATGTAGCCCTCCCCTCCCCTGCCTCTGTGAAAAAAATGGTTTCAATTTCAATCAGATTTTACAGCTCAGTGTTTTACTTTAGAAGTTATTGTCTACTACTGTTACTTGAACTTTAATCTATCAACAAAGCAGGAGATAAGAAAATCAAAATTAAATACATTATGCAATAAAGGAAGCTAACAAAAGTAAACTAATTTCAGGAAGTGTATAGGCTGTGTGAGTCTCAATCAGGGGAGGTGTAACTATGTGCTGTATAAGCAAAGAGATTTAGATTCTAATTGAAAGACAATTGATCAGTAACACAGGCTATCAGTAAGATGGAAATTAGTAAACGCTATTTCCAAAATATATATATATTTTTTTAAAACAGACAGATTTGTGCGTAAAAATGCTGATGACATCATTACTGATGGAAAAATTCTGGGACCATATGGTAACCTATGGCAATATGTGCAGGAAGCGATACTTTACCCTAGAAGGCGCGACCCTGTGGGTAATCTGTTTTACTAATTCGGTGTTTGAGTGGCTAGTTATGCAAGGGTGTGCATATTGCTATTTATGTGTGCAAATAGCTAATTTTATGTGTGAGGAGCTAGTTATGTTTGTGCGTTTTTGTAAGAGTGTGTGGCTTATTGGGGCTGTGAAAGAATATGACTAATTATGTGTATGCAGTTAATTACGTATGTACATGTGTCAAAGATCATGCATAATTAATGTGTATGTGTGTTCGATACACAGCAGATATAATAAAAATCATCAGTTTTACATACTTATTGAGACATATGACACAAATACATATTGTTTAACACATACACTACACAAATACTTATGCACCCATGCACCCACACATAATATATCCAAGTTACATGAAAATGTATATATGGAGGAGTGCACACACTTTGCTTTACCTAGGACAGGCAAACACACACACATATATATATATATATATATATATATATATATATATATATATACACACACACACACACAGGATGGAGGGTGATAAATAAAGAAGGTAATCTTACTTGTGTATGCACGAGCATATAACACATTGTCTAGCACTGCATCATGGTCCACACTAAACCGGTCAGCTATGTCTCTCAGACGATCTGGACGACTATAAACGTGTTAAGGGTGTTGTTGCTATTTGCTATAGAAGTCTAACAGAGCGAGGCAGATGATACAGGCCTAATTTGTGCTAGTTAAAAAATATATATAGTCATGTTATTGTATAAATGCAATCAAATGTAAATACCACAAAATAATAAATGAGTACGTGGCTTGAACTTGAAGACGCAGCCTTTTCCACATAACAAGATTGTTATTTTTATGGACTAAACCCACACCCTCCCTTGTATCTATTATCCAATGTAGGCTTTTTCCCTTGTAACCAGCAAAGTGAGAAATATGGATAGATTTTTTTTTTTTTACAATTATTTTACAGTAAACTGATCTTTCTCAGAATGCGATGGATACTTTTTCATGGTACCTTTTTACTGTCTATTCAATTTAATTTGATGTTGGATGCCACATAAGATATTTACTGCATGTATATTTTGGAGAAAAAAATTTAATAAAACGTCTATGTAATTTAATAAAACGTTTAGCAAAATGTAACTTCCATTTAGGAAGGATACAATGTGTTTTCTGTATCAATAAAGATAACCTTTCCTCCCATGTATCCAGTTGCTCCAGGAAGTTGGGCTGTCACTAGAAACAATCACAGTAAACATTAAACCAATAAAATTTATAATGAACAGATAATTATACCTAGACCATGGCTAATATTCCCCTACTTTGTGAATGCATTTTAAATAGATTTACTGCATAGTTAATTAGTCCTCTGAATTAATATTATAGTATGTTAGTCTCAGCTATCTAGCAGAGATTGCAGAAGTGACAACACTCAATGAGGTATCATGTGAGAGCACAGGTAGATAGCAAAAGGAATCATATCCAGTAATAAACTCGGCTCACAGAGGAGAAAATTGCTGCTACTGGTCAAAGGAATAGTGTGGTCTTACTGACCAGCTGAAAATTTTCTGGACATGGTAACTATTGAAAAAAATCTATAACCATGGGAATCAAAGGGCAACCATTGAAAACTAATCTTGGTCGTCGGAATGTAGTGGTTATGGTGCCTAGACTGTGCCCTTAATGTTATATACACATATGCCTTTGTGGGACAAAGGTAAGTTTTTTGAAGTGTAACTAAACAAGCCAGCCATCCTGTTTGCCAAAGGCAAAGTGCAGAGAAAATTAGAGCAAATAGTAAACCCTAAAAATTATATATATATAATTAAAAAGAAAATGTGTTTATGTTTACCATTTTGGTGTGTAATCAGCAATCCTGTTTGAAGCTATCAGAATTGAAAAAAGCATGGGCCATTAAAGATTCTGGTTTCACATACTCCTTTACTGTCCTGTCAACCATATCCAAAAAATAAAACAACCACGCAACAATGTAAATGTATAACAGGCAATATCGATGATTACATACCACAAAGAGTATGAGAAAGTTGGGTTTTTCCTGTTCTGAATTCTACAGATAAAATAACAAAAAAATAAATAAATTAGTGATTACTCAAAAAGTTATTCAATAAAGTGTGAGTTGTCAGAAATTCAAAGTTAAAGGGATACTATATAGTCAGCAGAACAACTACAGCTTATTGAATTTGTTCTGGTGAGTAGAATCATTCCCTTCAGGCATGTTGCTGCAAACACTGTCTTTTTGGAGAAAATGCAGTGTGTTTACATTACAGCCTAGTGATAACTCCACTGGCCACTCCTTAGATAGCTGCTAAAGCTGCTTCCTTGGGCAGTGCTGCAGAGTAAGCAGCACTGCCATTCAGTGTCTAGATGTTTCTAATTCAGCTATTTTAGCCTTAAATTTGACATCAACTTAGAATTCCTGACAATTCTCACCTTAGTGAACAACTTGTACCAGAATTTGCTTGAAGGCCCCTTGAGCTTTGAATAAACATCACGGCCAAGCCCATTGAAAAGTAATTAAACGTTGTCTGTGGTTATTGTGTGGTCTCATTTTATTTATACAAACATTGCGTACCATACATATAGCAGAGCAGGATACAGTGTTATAGGTGACATGCAGCCGCAGAAGGGACCACCATCCAAAACCAGACTAGGGGAAACAGTTCACCCCAGGTGAAAGTACATACACAAGAGAAGTAGTGAGAAGCTATAAACAAAGATATACTTAGTAAAATTACCTCCAAATGTCTCTGTTATTGCCATACTTTCTATACCACCACCCAATAACTTGCTGAAAATACACAGATTGTAGAATTGCTTGTTAAAATATACTGTAGAGAACATGCAGCAAAATGTGTATATACAATCTAAAATATAAGGATTTGAGATATAGGATATACACATTAACATATAAAAGGACATAATTTAGGCTGTATACTCAAATTCTTGGCTTCCAGTAGATATGTGGAACACCATCTTCCTCTTTGCACTGTATTCAAAGGCAGTAAGAAATCCTGGCTCCTGAAGATATCAAATCAAAAAAGCACAGATTTAAAAAATAAATAGTTTTTTATTTTATTGTAACAGTCAATATACAGACAAATAGTTAGATGTACATTAACTACTATTAAGTACATTAACTACATTAACTACTAACCTACTAGTTTGAGGCTTGAATAAAAAATAAAAAAAAAAGCATTGAAGATAATGGCGTCTCGGATTTCTTTTTTCAAGAATTTTTGGTTATATTTAACACAGAATAGAAGGTCTAAAGTGTGTGAGTACTGGGGCTAACTAGCTCCAGGTTCACAGCATTAGCCATGGTTAGAGCAGGGGTTTCTGAGACTTGTAGTTTCAGTTATCAGCTTTCTACTTCTCAAAGCTGAACTACAACTCTGGTTTTCATGTGTTAGCCGACATGTACAGCTGTGTGTATTGTTTCAACGACTATACAAAACTGGCCAGCCAAAATCTATAGAATACAAACAATATATATACATACCTAAGACTGTGTTCCATTTGTACCATGCATTGGGGTGTCTATGTACGTTGGGTGAAATAATGCAAGAACACGTGAAAGCATGCTGTATTCCTGGGTAATTTCCTAGCTTACTACTGCACCATACCTCACACCAGTATTTTAATTACACTAATAGCACTAAACTGATAATATATTATGATAAGCTTGTACCAGAATACCAGCCTCTCTGCATATACCCTTTTGCACCTTTACTGTGTTCCAGTTAGCTTCCTACTTATCATGTTGCTGTAAATGTTCAATGGCTACGTGATCCCTGTCATGCTCTGTGTATGTAAATTTTCTGCCTGTTCCTGACCAGGAACAGGAAAAGACAGCTCAACATACTATAGTTGACTTTAATAATCCTGCTTAATTAAACTGGTTTAGGCCCTGTTTCGGTTTTCTTCAGTTGTGTTTGGCCTCTACCGATAGTAGAGTTACATAAGGCTTTGCATCTTTCTGCTTGTGCTCCAAATATACCAACAGGAATCCAAGCCTAATCATGAAAGTTCTTGATACAAATCAGCACATATTCAGAAAATTACACTTAATAAAATATATCATCTTAAATGTACTTACAATTTTGCAATACTCACTATTAATTTGTTTGCTGCCTCTTTAATTTTGTCTACTTTAGCTTCAGATAAACCCTTAATGTTACACATGGCTTTTTTGGTAGTCATCTGAATGCCTTTTACAGTACATATTCCTACCAATTTTAACTTCTTTATATCTGATACATTCTGTAGGATGAAAAAAGAGACATGAAATTTACAAGCCTCCAAATTTTCATATATTATCTGTTCTCTTTTCTTATTTTGATAAGGTTGTTAATTTCTATTTTACAAATGAAAAAGTACATATATTTTAATTTATAAGGCTAGTTTTACCATTCACATTGACTCCGTTATTGTGAATACAAAAAAAAGCTGCAACGTGGATAAATCTTGACCCATGGGAGTCTTGGATAAGCTGGAACCCAGCAGCAGATGGACAGCACACCCTTGCAAGTAGGACACCTGTGGTGGCATGGAATTATGAACTGGTGCCTTGGAGGTCTGTGATGGAACAGGGGCTTTATTGGAAAACTAGGAGAAGAGGAAGGACAAATCCATAATGGCAAGGCAGACATCCTGGTTAGGAGGTGTGTAGGTCAAGGTCTGGGCACCGAGCACTACCCTGGGGGCAACCTAAACAAGAAAATGGCTTCTCCTCTAGATGGAGTGTGTCATGGCAATAGGCACCACTCACTTGCTCCCTGGCACCTACTCTTTACTAGAGGTAGTCCAGGGACAATGTGGCAAGCAGAACAATTTATATAACCCTGCAGTGCTCCACCTACAGGTGGTAGATGGATGGTCATGTGACTCTGTCAGTCTATTTAACCTCAGAGTGCCTCGTAATCGGTGCACAGAATTGCCACATGTTGCAGGGGTGTAACTAGCTTAAATGATGCACAGCCAGACTCCTACCACACTAACCATTTCAAATCACTGAAGTAGTCACGGTGGTTGGAATAACAAATTAATTCTCCCTCACATATACCTCTACAGGATTCCTTCTGCTAATATCAGTGTTGATATTCTTTGCTAAACAGTAGAGAACAGTATGTGACCACCATCTAGTAGTGGCTGTTTTTTTAAGCATGACAGGGAGATCTCCCAGTCATGCTTCAGCCAAGCATGCTGCCTCAGCTGATCAACCTGTGATCGGTGCAGGGCAGTTGTCAAAACCCAGCACCAATCACAATCTGCAGGGGGAATGCAGGTCACACTCAGCCACAGGGATTTAAATCGATTTTGAAGTCTGCATGCAGCACTCACATTGAGCACATCATACAAGTTGTCCACATAGAATATGTGCATGTCCTATCCTTCAAGGAAACTTAGGACTGCGCAACTTAGGGTCATTCACTATAACACAGGTCATTAATCCTGTTGCAGTCAATCTGGATGTCTCTGAAACCTATCGGTTACACCCAGTGTACCGTGTATCCCTGTTAAAAGCTTTAAGAGAAAACAAATTCCCTCTATGTACCACCATTTCTGATCCAGTTGTCATGGATGGTTCGGAAGAATTCAAAGTGAAGGAGATCTTCGATTCCAGAAGGAGCAGAGGAGGATTGAAATACCTTATTCACTGGAAGTGGTATGGCCCAGAGGAACAATCCTGGGAGTCGGACTGGAATGTTTATACCCCTGCCAAGCTCCACGCCTTTCACCAGAGACCCTGGTTAGCCATCCCTGTTTCACACCATGAGGTCATGCCTGCAGAGGGCATTTGGTTCTGGGCACCTACCACATCCTAGAGGTAGTCCGGGGACAAAGTTGCCTCTGAGCTTTAGAACCATTTATATAAACTCAGAGTGCCTCCTAATCGGTGCACAGAACTGCCACATGTGCCAGTGGGGTAACTAGCTGAAATGAAATTTCAAGCTGAAATGATGCACATCCAAACTCCTACCACAATGACCATTTCATATCATTGAGCTGGTCATGGTGGTTGGAATAACAAATTAATTCTCCCTCACATATACCTCTACATGCTTCCTTCTGCTAATATCAGTATTGATATTCTTTGCTAAAACAGTAGAGAACAGTCTGTGACCATCATATGGGTGTCTGTTTTATTAGCATGACAGAGAGATCTCCCAATCATGCTTCAGCCCAGCATGCTGCCTCAGCCGATCACAATCTGCAGGTCGTGCTCAGCCACAAGGATTTAAATCGATTTCATTTTCATGGAGCACTTGCATTGAGCACTTCATACAACTCGTCTGTCAGTCTGGGGCACTAAATATGGCCACAGCTGGCAGAGGGGGGTTTCCCTGATGTGAGCAAGGATTTAACCCATTTCACACAAGACTTTCATGTGTGGGAGTTAAATTCCCATGAAAAGGGCTGTGTGCAAAGCAATAAAAATGGCCCAGAAAGGGGAGCTTCACCAATTGATGCTTGGGACTTACTTCTGCTCCCACCAGAATGTTAGTACATACGAATGCACCTTAGTGTCGTTAAAAGATTCAGCTAAATGTGTTGTTTGACATTGAGTGCCATCTAGTGGTGTCGACTGAGTATTGCACAGTTCGTAATATCTATCAACAAGGTACACAGCTTTGCTGAAATAGAATGACAGCAGCCAGAAACAAAGCGGTTTGAAGCAGCCCAAAGTGTATGTTTGCTACACTATTATTTTACGCAAAAGTAACAGTTGTTTTCTGTTTGCTGATTGTTCTTAACAGATGGCCTATGTAGAATAAAAAATGTGTCTTCTAAATTTACATTTACCCATTCATTGCCAAAACAGTGTATACATCTAGGAACCAGCTTATGATTGAGTTGCACTCTGGATAGGAACTTTACAAATTCCTTATTTTTCAAATCGGTGATTTAACTGTACTTACTTTATGTGGCCATTATGCTTAAATACAAACATTATTATTGTATTCGGTTTCTGTTTTTAGCAAATTATATTAACAAATGCCCAGTGAGTATGTTTTTCTTTCAATATAAAATAACAAGAAAGAGAGTGTCAAAACATACAACCACCCAGTGGGAGGTATAACGTTTAGTAGGGAGGAAAGGACATACAAAGTCGTCAAATCCGTGGAAGAGGGGGAATAGAGTTGGTAGCATGGAAGTGATATTCACAGATGTGGAAGTTCGCCAATTTTTATTTTTTGATCATAAAGCTGTATGAGCAACAAATTGTATATTTGTGTTATATTTCATACACTTTGTGAAAACTTGCGAAATAAGCAATAAAGTATGAAAAACTTTTGTCACAAAAATACTTTATTAAAGGATGACTAAATAAAAAATTAAAATTATATAAGTTAAACAAGGGATTTCTATTCAGGAATCAAGAAATATCTTTTTATACTTACAATTCCATGCTTCTGTAACATGTCAATATCTTGGAAAAAAGAGTCCTACAGTAGGAATACAGGACACACCTGATCATTTTTACATTCTTGTAAGACATAAACCTCATATAAAGTAAATATGTAATATATCTATGAGTATGATGACTAGTAGACTTTTTCACTGAAACCATGTTCTCATAAAGATCACAAAAGAGTGTCCCTTCAAGCTTAAATCTCACATTATCTAGAACCTATATAACTTTTTTTTAACATTATATGACTGATTTAAAGGAACCCCTTAGTGCTAGAGTAGCAGTTTAGGTCCCCATCCACCCACAGAATGGAGTTAAAAGTTATCATACTCACCTTTTCTCCCTCGCCGCACTGGTCTCGCTGCAGCTGACCTTGCCCGCATGGCCGAGATCATCAGTCTGCACAATTTAGCATCTCCTCATAGAGATGCACTGAATCAATGCATATCTATGGGCAGCTTTTAGCATCTCAATGCTGAGTATGAATAATAGAAATGTAAATAAGAGTGGAGCAGTGTGGTAAAACTAATGTTTAGGTGAGAAACCAGGAACAAATTAAAATAACGATGGAAATAAAGGTGCTGTAGTTATACTTAGTAATCAGTAGATGGCACCAGATCGACACATCTCATAACATGTATAGAGAGAAAAATATCAACATGAAATAGTGCAGACTGTTGGAATATACAAATGTAGAGTTAAATAATAGTTTGCTTAGTGCACATAGGTTCCCATAGAAATACCCATATGTATTAGGTTAAGAAAGTCCAATACTAGATCTTATAAAGTGCTGGTAAATATATTTGATAAAGATTAATGGCAGGGAATGACAGTTCAATGTTGAATCGTGTAAAGTGCATGTAAATTTATTCCATTAAAATCGGTGACAAAATAATAGACACACGGTCTCTTACAGAATAGTGTTGTGAGTACACTCGGCATACGCCGTTACTCACTGCCAAGCTTGTTAAAATACATCCAATGGTGGTAATGGAGCTGACGTTTCATCGGTATCACCGGCTTCCTCAGAACGTGATGCTATCGGCCCCATCTTGGAGAAGGGTATTTGAAGGCAAGATATGTTCTTTATTGCCAACTGGTGCGTCAATCGGACCTTCAATTGCATATCACGATATGATCGTGATCAGTCTTTATTTTTTTTTCTTTATTCTTTTTATTGAAAAAAATTTTTTTCATTTATAAAACATATGACAAAATAGTGAAATTTGATCGTGATCAGTCTTTAATCACATGAAAAGTCCTTGTACTTTTAAAATTAAATAAAAAAATTCATATTACAATGAACGTTTGTATATAATTTTCCAAATCAACACCCTTCTCCAAGATGGCACCGATAGCATCATGTCCTGAGGAAGACAGTGATACCGGTGAAACGCGTTGATGTCATAAGTGGGGGGCGGAGACCTTGGAACTCAGAGGAACTATAGAACGCTGCCTGATATACAGCAAAGTCGGGTTATTTTATCCCAAGTATCGCAGTCACTCAGAGCCGTTTCGGAGTCCTTTGCAAATGCGACAGGGTTGCCTACTTTTCCCGCTTCTACATGACCTCGCACTCGAACCCTTAGCAATTCTAATAAGATCAAACACTGCGATATCAGGGGTCTACATTGGACCGACGGAACACAAACTTAGTTTTTTCGCAGACGATGTCCTGCTCACCATGACTCGACCTGACACGTCCCTACCCGCACTCACAGACACTAACGGAATATAGGAAGTTCTCATAATGCAAGCTAAACACCACCAAAACACAGGCCATGCCAATCAATCTAGACCATACTATGATACAACGCCTCAAAAAACATCATAACTTTCGACTGGAGAGAGGATCACATAATTTATCTGGGAATAAAATGAACTAAAAATCTAAATAATCTCATTAAAGCCAACTACTTTAAATTAGCCTTGAAGCTTCACTCCTGCATGGACAAATGGAAAGAAAAATTCCTTTCCTGGATGGGCCGAATTGTAACCTTTAAAATGATGCTACTCCCTAAACTCCAATTTCTATTCTGTTCTCTGCCGGTGGACATCCCAAGATCCTATTTCACCCAATTACAACAACACAGACAGATTCATTACAGGCCGCCGAAAATCACATATTCCAAAGACCACAGCCACTAGAAAACTAGAAGACTGGGAAGTGGGCAGGCCTGAAATACATGCTTATCACATAGCTACAGTTCTCAACCATGCCATTGGGACACAGGATGCCAAAATGAGATCCCCTTGAGTAGACATTGAATTACATTGGTCCCTGACAGAAGGTATTCCCTTTTTACTCTGGATACACAAGGTCTTACATCCAAAAATGGAAAACATATTACCCACCATATCTGTGATGCCAAAGGCATGGGATGACCAAAAACACAAATTTACATCCTGGAGCCCGATCTCATTGGCCACCCCACTTAGATCCTTTAAAAATTTCATTCCCACTTTTGACAGCAGAGGTTGGGAAAGCAGGGGACTAAAATTTCTCCACTAAATCTGGAGCAGAAACGAGCTGACACCCTATTCTCACCTCCGTTCAACACATGACTTGCCCCACATAGGATATTTGCTATATTTGCAATTACAATCCCGATTAAAGAAAGTCAAACAGACACAATCCCCTGCCCTGTCCATGATGCCAAATCTGTTGATCATAGAGAAAATGTGCACAGAAACAATACCGAAAAATAAAGTTATATCAGTCTGCTATGACATGATTCTATGAGACACTAGTCATCCCATACCCAAGTACACAAGGGAGTGGGAAAGAGACTTGGGGCATGAGATTTCAAATGTCGCCTGGTTGAAAGCCTTTAAGATACATCAACCGTACACTAGGTGCACTTCACATATAGAACTAATAAGAAAGATAGCAACCAGATGGTTAACTAGTACCAGCATGCTTAGCCCACATGTTCCCAACTGCATCTGACAGATGCTGGAGATGCGCCACTGAGAAAAGAAACCATGATGCACATCTGTTTGGAGTGCTTGGTGATCAAACCCTTTTGGAAGATGATAGCAACCCTGATCTCAGAAGTCATAAAAAAATTTTTTTTTTAAAAGATGTCAGTCGAACATTTTCTCCTGTTTATGTTCCCCAATGATCTCACCAAGCAACAAGGGATCTTAACCTTTCATATACTGGAAGCAGCAAACTTATTGATAGCGAGAGGTTGGAAATCGCCCAAAGCTCCCAGCAGAGGAGAGGTAGTGCAACAAGTATCTATCAATGGTCAATACGAAAAGATGATCCATATGAGTTCCAACAGGCTTAATATAAAAATAGCTGCGTGGGATAGATGGGAGGAATGGGTGGGGTGCCAAGCTGACTCCACTAATGCAGACCCATAAACAGAAGAAACAAGCAGGGGCAGGGTTTCAACCCCTATCCCTCCCCTTCCTGCATACCAGATACAAATCCATAAAGATTAATAGCAACACCCTCACTCACCATCTCCATCTCCACACCCCACATCGGTAGTTCGCCTTCTTTATCTCACCCTTTCTTCCTCTTCTCTTTCTTCTAGTCCAGCCTGGAGCTGGGAAATACTTCAGAAAATCCGGTATGGTATTACATTATTATTTTGTGGGTGACCAAGCCGGTTCAAGGTGGCTAATAGCTCAAAGACCTGGCCATATGTAACTCAATCATATACCCGCCTACTGTTTAGAAATGTTAACACATATGACAAAAAGTTGTATATGAATCTGCTGTTGCATGATGTATGATTTTGTGGGTTAACCTTTTTACTGGACACTTGTAAATACTGTATTGCCTTGTGTAGATATTGAGGTGCCTATTTTCTTCTGTTAATCCTGTGTGTACAATCATTACCGGAATAAAGAAATAAAAAATAAAAATTGAAAAAATAAAATAAAAAATATATGTACTTACCTCATCATCAAACCTCACATCCTCCTCCACAACTTGATCTTCAACTGATTTCATAATTCACCAATTTTATATTTTCTGAAATAGTAAAAGCATCAAAATATTGGCTTTTATGCACAAAGTATTAGATATCATAAAATATACTGTATCACCTTATACACCTACAGATGGCAATCAAAGGGACTCTCCTAACATAGAGGTTATAGTGCAAAGAGCTGCAGTTTTGAGCCCAACCTCTCACCCTAAAATGTCATAGGGGAATCTATGGTTCTCTCTGTTAATTAATACCATACTACATGGTTTTTTTTTTGTGTTGTGAGAGTTGTCATTTTCTACAGGATAAAAAAATGAGTGACAGGACATGTACCCTAAAGTTAATATGGTTACTCTAATTAGAGTTGTCGTAGCACTTCAGGTGACCTTGAAGGCACAGTGTATAGAGTTATGTCTTAGGTGATAGATAGAACTTTGAGATTATAAATATATTATATATTATATCCTATATTGAGGGACCACATTTTTCATCTTTGTACTATAGTAAGATTATTATTTGAATCAAGCTGGCTACCCTATCACAGTCCAAATCCATAAATTAGGTGTGCTAAAGACACGTAACAGATTTTTTTGTATCTACCTCTTTCCTTTTTGTTGAGAGCCACTATCGTGTATAAACATCTTGCCGTTGAAAAACATAACATTCTCTCTAAGCACCTGAAAATTTTAATTAGGTTCCTAAATCAAAAACTGTCATGTACATCAGTTATTGCCATATTTTTTTATTTTTTTTAATTTGACAATTTTTATTAATATTTTGTCATAATCCCGACATTAGTCGGAGGGGGGGGATACAGAAGAGAAGAAGGAAGGGGGGGGGGGAAAGCAGCAAGTATTATAATTGTCACATAGTATATTACATAGTATATTACATAGTCATACAGTACAAAACAGTTAGCCGAGACAGGGTGGGTATGGGTATTCAATATAAGCTTGTACTCTCTAAGGTCCGGGGGTCGACTCGACCCATATTCTAAACACAGCTCTACAGATTGCTCCCTTTGGGATTAATCCAGGCGATCCGATCTCCATGTGTCCCAGATCTCCCATGCCTTTGCGGAGGTATGGGATGGGGGCCACAATTTGGTGTATGCTCCTTCATATGCTCTTTGTTCTATCAGAGCGGCTAGTACTCTGGCGAAGGGCGGACATTGTTTAGATTTCCATGATCTTGCGATCTCTCTGTGAGCTGAGAGGAGAACGTGATATATAAGCTTCTTCTCGGCTCTGGGGGTTCCACTCGGAAGAATTAGTGTTATATAGACTTGGGGCGTAAATTGCATATTAATGCCAATCAAGTCTTGCAGGAGCGTATGGACTTCCGTCCAGAACGGTTTAAGCTCTGGGCACTGCCACCAAATATGGAGGACATCTCCTCTTGCTAATCCACATCTCCAGCAGTTGGGAGAGCTATTTGGGTAGAATTTATTAATCCGAGTAGGTACCATGTACCATCTATAAACACCCTTGCGTTGTTGCTCCACTAGGGAAGTGGATGTGAGTAGCTGGTTTATGTCTTGGAATAAGATATTCCATTGTGTGGGGGAGATAGGCTCTCCCAGATCTGTATTCCATTGTTGTGCTACATTAGTATCAGGGAATGGAATAGAGTTAGCGATGAGTCGGTAACACATGGAGGTCGGTTTACATGCGAGTGGTAATGACCCGTTTATACAGACTTGTTCCCACACCGTGGGTTGTCCCTTATCAGATTGCAATACCCTGTCAGCACTAGTTGATCTGTAGAGGAACGATCTCAGTTGTATGTATGAGAATTGTGAAGTTACAGGAAGTTTATGTGTGTGTCTCAGTGTGGAGAAGTCTTTTAATGTCCCGTGTTGGAGAATATGATAGAGGTGTGTTAGTTTGTTGTCTATCCAAGGATTGGCATAAAAGGTCGGTATACAATACGGGAGGGCCGCCACTGGTGTAGCTGGTGAAAGTTTAGTTGGGGAGCAGAGTGTCGCCCTACTTTTGTCCCATATTTGTAGTTTGAGGGCGAGGAGGTCGGATGGATGTGGTAGGGTCGGGCGGTATACTTTTGGTATCCACAATATGTTAGGCAGTGTGAAGGGCTTCAGCAGGTTTCTCTCTATCTCCACCCATTGAGGGGGCTTTTTACCCATGTGGTGGGGAAGTAAGGTGGCTAGTATGGATGCATGGTAGTAAGCCTTCACATCTGGTAGTCCCAGTCCACCTGACTTTTTAGGAGCATGTAAAAGATTCCTGGCTACCCTCGGTCTAGACCCTGCCCAAATAAAGTTGTCTACCTCCTTTTGTACCAGTTTAAAAAAGGAGTGTGGGACGGGAATCGGGAGCGTTCTAAAAATATATTGCAGTTTAGGAAGTATCGACATCTTTACTGCCACTATTCTTTCAGTCCATGTTAGATAGAGAGGTGACCATTTTTTTAGTTGTAGGGCACATTCTCTCCACGTTTTAACATGGTTGCCCGTGTAGAGCTCTGTATGCTTTTTAGAGAACAATAGTCCTAGGTATGTAATGTCATATTTCCTCCAATCAAAGGGGTACAACTCTCTGAGGACTATCATTTCACTTTCAGGAACGCCTATGCTAAGTGCTTGAGTTTTAGAGGTATTGAGAGAATAGTAGGATTGTGTTCCATATTCGTGAATGAGGGACATGACATGGGGCAGAGACTCCATTGGTTGGGTCATATAGAGGAGGATGTCATCTGCGAAGGCACTTATCTTAACTTCTCTAGATCCGACCAGAATTCCAGTAATATTGGGGTGGGATCTAATTGCGACCAGAAGTGGTTCCAGGACTAAAACATATAACAATGGGGACAGAGGGCATCCCTGTCTGGTCCCATTAGATAATTCGAAAGGGTCCGATAGGAACCCGGCTTGCAGAACTCTAGCTTTCGGAGCCGAGTATAGTGCGAAAATTTGTGTGATGGTCTGATGGGGGAAACCGTATTTCTCTAGAACTTGTCTCAAGAAGGCCCAGCCAAGGCGGTCAAATGCCTTCTCCGCATCCAAGGCTAAAAGCAGACCCCCCCGGCCAGGCCTCCGGAGCTGCTCCAGGGTGTGCATCAGTTTGTATGTATTGTCCGAGCCCTGTCTCCCTCTGACGAACCCTGTTTGATCGTCACAAATCAATTCTGGCAGAAGTCCACTCAGCCTATTTGCTATAATTTTAGCGTAGAGTTTGGCATCTGTATTGAGGAGGGAGATTGGGCGAAAGTTTTTACATTCATTTGCAGGTTTGCCAGGTTTTGGAATGGTGATAATTGTGGCCATAAGCATCTCCAGAGGGAGGGAGCCCGTTGCGGAGGCTTGTTGGTACACCCGCAACAGGTGGGGCGTTGGAGCGTTATAGCTTGTTCTAGTGTGACTCGTGGCAAGTGTATCTGGTTAAGATATTTGGAAATGCTGTCTTCCGTTGGGTTGTTTATACCTGTCGTGAGGTGCAGGTTATATAGTTTGGCATAAAATCTTGCAAAGGCTTGCGATATGTCGCTGGGATTTAGTATTTTCTGACCCCTATCATTTATAAGATGTGCGATCTTTTGTGTGTTGCATTTGTCTCGTAATCTTGCTGCTAACAATTTAGTGACTTTACCGCTATGGTGGTAGGCGGTAGCTTTTAATTTATGGAGCAGCCTCCTAGTTTTGTCTGCCGTCAAGTCTCTTAGTTTGTCATACTGCAGGGAGAGTTGTATCCCTGTTTCTACTGAGGGCTGGGTCTTATTTAAAGCAGAAAGTTGCGCTATTTTAGTGTGGCATTCCAACATTGCCGAGTCTTGGGTCCTTTTAATGTGCGAAGCTTGTTTAAGAAACATGCCTCTAAGTACTGCCTTATGTGCGGACCAGACCGTGGCTGCCGTGGTCTCTTGAACATTGTTTAGGTTAAAGTAGGTTATAAGCTCCTCTTTAATGATAGCGGTAAATTTCTCATCGTTTAATAGGGAGTCATTCGGGGGCGTGGCCTGAAGTCCGACCTGAATGGAAGTGTGAGTCCCGAGCTCCTCGCCACCAAGCTAATATTAGCCGTTTTTTAGCCCCCTAACTCACCCTAATGGGACGCACCAGGAAACCGGAGAGCCAGCAGACCCCCAGGGCAGCACCGCCGGCAACTCCATCGGGACCGATGGACGGCTTTTTACAAACCCCGCCGGGACAGAGCCGCGAGGCGCACAGCTCCAAGATGGCGCCCGTCTCCCCTGCCTCCTCCTGTTCGGAGCCGGAACAGCCTACACTGGCTGATATTGGGGCAGAAATCAGGAGGCTGGCAGCCAACATGGTCACTAAATCAGACCTACAGTCCCTGACCACCACCCTCACGGCATCCCTCACGTCCGCTGTCACTGCACTACGCACAGACATGGAGGCACAGGATGGCCGCATCCAAGCCCTGGAAACCCAGGCCCAAGCCGCCCAACGCCAGGCCTCAGCCGCGGACACAGCCCTGACAAGGCAGGGCAACATGCTACTAGCCCTGCGCAGACAGGTCGAGGACCTAGACAATCGCAGTCGCCGCTCCAACATCAGGGTAAGGGGGATGCCGGAGGGAGAGGAGACGGAGAATGTTGCGGAATTACTGACCGCACTTTTCCGCCAGATTCTGGGGAACCAGGCGCCACCAGACATCCGCTTTGAGCGGGCACATAGGGCCTTGAGACCCAGGAACAGGGATGGGGACCCCCGAGACATTATCTGCTGCCTACACTCATTTCCCCTCAAGGAACGCATAATGCAGCGGGCCAGGACCCGACCCACATGGCGATATCAAGAGGCAGAGGTCTCCTTGTACAATGACCTTTCCCCTACCACATTAGAGGCTAGGCGTGCCCTCAGACCCATCACTACAGCACTAAGGGAACGCAATATCCCTTACAAGTGGGGCTTCCCATTCAGCATCCAGGTGAGACATCATAACGAGTGGATTGCGGCACGCTGGCCAGAAGAAATACCGCGCTTTCTCCAAAGGTTAGAACTACCGTCCATAGCAGTCCCAGACTGGATACTGGAACCGCT